GGGGGGGGGGGGGGGGGGGGGGCGCAATTTCCGCCCGCTCAATTTTATTTTGGGACAAAATTTTTTATATAAATTTTTGAATTGTATAGATTTGTCCCAGCAAAAAAATTCAGTCATTTAAGTCTATTTCATAATTTTTCACATTTAGAATAAACTTTTTTACCCTCAATCAAGTGAGCTTAAATAATATTTAGTTACTTCAACTCTTCAACATGTATTTAAGAAATTATTTTGAGTCTGGTAATTCTATCTCTATATCTAGTCTGTTTGTTAATTGAATGATAGCAATACATGAAGTCTCTGAACTAGATCTCTGAATTAAATACATTTAGTAATTTTGTTGCTAAAATTTGCCCTCCCACGACGACATATTTCTGGCTCCACCCCTGAATATTTCTAAGTTGTAACAACTAGGGAAAAAAGTGAAGGTTGATTGGAATTGGAAAGTTCTCGGTTCAGAGATTGCTGCAGGTTCGATTTTCTAAACCCTCTTAGTATTCCATGTTAAAAAAAAAAAAGCAAATTACACTCGCACCCCTAGGCAATAATAGGTCATATGAGGGGAAAAAAGTCTTAGGCACTGCTTGAATACTTTCAAGATTAGCATTTTTCTTTTACAAGACATAATTACTCTCTCACTCTGTCATGGTATAGGAGGTACAGCACTAGCAGGAGCAGCAACAGCACCTTCATTTGAAAGGGCCACTACAAAGTTTAAAGGAATGATGAGGAGGAAAGTAAGTTACTAATTCCAAAACTTATAATTAATTTAAAGTGATGTCAACGTAAGTCAATGTAATCAGCAGCTTCGGCTAATTAGATTATTATTCGTTAATTCTTTTTATGTATTTTTGTTGTATCAAAACTATCGAATCAGTTCTTTCTTTTTAACTTATCGTCGCTTGGTAGTATCACTAACACCACCACAGCCTTTTTTTTTTTCTTATTTTATCACATATATATTTTAACATTTTTTGGCCGTGTATAGAATCTTATACTAGCACCTGAAGAAGTTTTCTTATGTCTTGTAAAAACTGTTCTCAAACTAACAAAGGAAAAAATTGGCCCTTTGTGTTTCATTTCAAAGCTTTAACAATTACACTGCTTACGGGAAAAAACAAGTTAAATCATTCTTCTATTTTATGCAGGGTCGACGAAAAATTGTTACTATAAAAGGTAGAGCTTCTTTAATTCCACTAAATTCTCTTTGTTATACAATCAGTCTGAAATNTACTATAAAAGGTAGAGCTTCTTTAATTCCACTAAATTCTCTTTGTTATACAATCAATCTGACGTTAAATCGTATTAAAGACTTGTACTATTCTAGAGCTTAAGAAACGGCAAACAAAATAAACATGCAAGAGAACTTTCTAGAAATTTTTTAATCCCCGTGTCCTCAAATTTATCAAGAGTTTTTCTTAAATCAATTAATGAGCGAGTGTGGTTATGCCTTATCAGTGTTCTTTATTGTTTTTCTCTCTGTTATGTTGTTACCGTTTTCCTTTGCAACTCAGCTCAAGATAGTCTAGCTTTTGAACCTGATGAAGAAATTCATGAAGAAGAAGCAGTCTGTAAATTTTGCTTTGACATATTGGTGGATGGAAATTTGGTCAAGTTAAAATGCAGTTGCAAAAACACCCTCGCCCATAGCGCATGTGCATCTAACCAATTTAGATCGAGGGGAAACAATGAGTGTGAAGTTTGTGACCAGGAGGTCGAAGAGGTACCTGTAACTTTGCTAAGGGTGCCTGTTCCTGCTAGGGATAATGAGCCAAAAGAAAGCNTCGCCCATAGCGCATGTGCATCTAACCAATTTAGATCGAGGGGAAACAATGAGTGTGAAGTTTGTGACCAGGAGGTCGAAGAGGTACCTGTAACTTTGCTAAGGGTGCCTGTTCCTGATAGGGATAATGAGCCAAAGGAAATCTGGACAGCAAAATTGAAAAGGTAAACTTACATTCGAGCCACAGTGATAGATATGTATTGAAATCACTAATTTAGTTTTGAAGAGCTCCTTAAACACAACTTTCTGGAAATTAGTACTTCTCTAGCAAGTCGTGATAGTNAGTGTGAAGTTTGTGACCAGGAGGTCGAAGAGGTACCTGTAACTTTGCTAAGGGTGCCTGTTCCTGATAGGGATAATGAGCCAAAGGAAATCTGGACAGCAAAATTGAAAAGGTAAACTTACATTCGAGCCACAGTGATAGATATGTATTGAAATCACTAATTTAGTTTTGAAGAGCTCCTTAAACACAACTTTCTGGAAATTAGTACTTCTCTAGCAAGTCGTGATAGTTTTTTTTTTTTTGGGGCAAGTAGGATGACTATCATTAAAATCGAAAGAGGTTCATGTGCAAAAGAGATTCCAACAGGATGGTTGATCTTTTGAACCAGAGAAAAGAAGATCCTCCATCCCAAAACAAAAGAAAAACAGAATGAACAAAAACCAAACGAAAAAACAAAAACCAAGCAAGCCATGATAGTTTAACTGNTTTTTTTTTTTTGGGGCAAGTAGGATGACTATCATTAAAATCGAAAGAGGTTCATGTACAAAAGAGATTCCAACGGGATGGTTGATCTTTTGAACCAGAGAAAAGAAGATCCTCCATCCCAAAACAAAAGATAAAAACAGAATGAACAAAAACCAAACGAAAAAACAAAAACCAAGCAAGCCATGATAGTTGAACAGTTTATGCTATGCATGCATCAACTAAGGAATGTCGGCCAAATTTGAGTAGGCCAGTGAGATCGGCTTGGATTTCGACCTACTTCGACTCTAAAACCAATCTAAAAATTTAGTTTCAATACGAGTCCATGAAACAGCAAATGGCAGATTAAGCTTCACTTAAATATTCAAAACTACCACTCTATATTGGACTAATCAAATTTAGATCAAAATCTGACTCATTGACAGATGTACTCGTGAGCAAGTCAANAAAAATTTAGTTTCAATACGAGTCCATGAAACAGCAAATGGCAGATTAAGCTTCACTTAAATATTCAAAACTACCACTCTATATTGGACTAATCAAATTTAGATCAAAACCCGACTCATTGACAGATGTACTCGTGAGCAAGTCGAACACAACTCAAAAAAGTTACTTTTGAATTCTTGTTTCAATTGCGATCAATGAAGAACCCATATCAGGATCCGGAATTGTAGCTTATATTTAGCGAATGACTTCTTCTGGATTCAATTTTCTTTCTTCGTTCCAAAGGCTCTTGTAAATTTTATTTTGATACATATTATTATTTGCTTGTCAGGACTTTGATATGTGGTGTGCCACAGGAAAGTGAGACTAGAGCCTGAGTAATACAAAAGATNTATATTTAGCGAATGACTTCTTCTGGATTCAATTTTCTTTCTTCGTTCCAAAGGCTTTTGTAAATTATATTTTGATACATATTATTATTTGCTTGTCAGGATTTTGATATGTGGTGTGCCACAGGAAAGTGAGACTAGAGTCTGAGTAATACAAAAGCTNCGTTCCAAAGGCTCTTGTAAATTTTATTTTGATACATATTATTATTTGCTTGTCAGGACTTTGATATGTGGTGTGCCACAGGAAAGTGAGACTAGAGCCTGAGTAATACAAAAGATATAGAAGGAGGATTTGAAACCAAACCATAATTATATTTGTTCTGGTTTCGTGGTTGGTTTAGATCTGTTTTAGGCATTTGGTACTACTGAATGAAGTTAATTTCCATTGGGTTTGCCCTTATATTCAAAGCGTACTTTTTGTAGTCAATCTTGTTTTATTAATTAATAAGAATTGTTTGTTTTTTCATTTTATTGAGAATCTATGTGGACAAAATATTTGTATTATGATATGTATGAGTGTCTTATATTTTATATTGTAGATAATCTAGTGTGTAGAGTTTAGTTTTTGCACATAAGACTAGATTATCGGATATTTGTATAATATGAGTATAGGTTCACAATACTAGATGAAATTGCACATGTTATGAATATGATTGTAGTGTAATATTCTGACATAGTCTGTCTTGACTATAGGAGACTGTTTGATGTCTCTGATTATTGCACTACTATACTCTCGTTTGATTGTCGTATTAGAAATGAATGAATTGGACAAATTAATACAGTCTAAAACAATACAAATGGATAAAAGACAAGATTAGATATAGTATTAAAATAATACGTAATTTTGTCTAGTGTTTGACAATACAAAATATAAGCGTTGGATAGTAGTTATTAAATCCAATCGGTTGTTTGGTTAGAGAATTAACAAAAATACCCTTAATCAGTGTTTGTTACATTGATGACAACTTGATTTTATCACTTGGAGGGTTATAATAGTAAATGTGTAGAATAATACGTTTGAGTTGGATTGTAATATCACCTATTTGGTGGTATTAAAAAACCTTTATAATACAGGTCTATTATACAAAAAATATATGATAAGTATACGATTAATATACATTTTTATATTAATATGGTATCAAATTTGCTTATCAAACAAAGCATTAGGTCTGATTAAATAAAAAATAATACAATCTAAAATTTAATCCCCTCATAATACATATATCAAACGAGTAATTTGTGTATTGAACATATTCATGTTGAGACTATTATTTTTTACTGATTCAATAAGATAATAAATAACTTATGATTATTAAGATTGCTTATACTCTTAATCCCGAAATATTTAATTACTACGTGCATATAATGTTTGTCACTTTAATTCATCAAGGAGTGAGAATTAATAATGAGTCAATAAGCTCGGAGAATTGGGAGACAAATGTTATTTGTATGATGAAATTAATTAATAAAGGAAATCACGTCCTAATATTTAAATAGGTTGGTGATGTCCTCTTGAGAAAGCTCATAAGTTTTATCCATGTCAAATCTTACAGGTGGATTTAATTATCCGACATGACAAATAAGTTGAATGGTAAGGTCTCAAGGAATAAAATAAGTCAATTAAATATAATTGTCAGTAATTTATTTAATTGATAGACATTTGTAATCTTAAACGTGAGGAAATTATGAAGCATACAATAATATGGAGCTCGAAACATAATTTTGAGATAAGGCTTAGGAGATTAATAATAAGTTTTTAGTGGATTAACTTATTATTAATTGACTGTAGGATGTTTGTTCTAGGTTGAACATAAGAATCCTAGGCCCATTGGAAGTTCGACCTTTATTTCTCCTTAGGGTTTCTGTCGTAACCTATATATAGACATCTAGGTTCTCTAAATCAACATCAATTTCATTACTCACGATGTTCTTATCATAGAGATATGAGGCATTTGACTGAAGATTGTAGAGTGTACAAGTCTTTCCTTGAGCAGTTGGTCCGAGATAGGCATCTCGAGGGGTTCATTGAGAAGACACTCGTTAGGGGCTCCGCAGGAGGAGCTGACATGTCTTAGGAAGCGGCGACCGTGATTGAAGTGATTTATGTTTGCACGGTTGAGAGGCCAACGTATAATTCCCTCCGAGCTGACCTCCAGAGGGTCCCGCAAGTAGTGAAAATGGAGAAAAACAGGTGTGAGGAGCAATCGTCCAAGAGGTCTTGGCATGAAGCCGAGGTTATCCAGTTCTCTGATGCCGACCTGGGCGGGTTAGTGCTCCCGCATGAGGATGCTTTGGTGATTACCCTTCGAGTCGACAAGTATGATGTCAAGATGATATTGGTGGACTCAGGTAGCTCGTTTGAGGTGATGTATGGCGACCTCTTTCGCAAAATGGGGTTCACCCAAAGGGACTTGAAGCCAGTAAGGACCCCCCTTATTGGTTTCAATGGTTCCTACGCCCTTCCCCTTGGAAAAATTACTCTTATGGTTAATGTTAGGATCATTGCTGTCCCAGTAGAATTTGTGGTGATAGACTTCGATTCATCGTATAATGCCATCATGGGTAGGACATGGTTACATGCGATGAAGGCGGTGCATTCATCTTACCATCAGAAAATTAAGTTCTCCATAGCACGAGGTGTCATGGAGATTCGAGGCGATCAGCCATCATCCAAAAGTTGCTTCTACACCGTAGTGAAGACTGTGTCAGTGGCCGAGTTCGGGAATGTGAACCCAAGGCGGTGGTGGCCAAATAGCAATCACAGTTCGATCAGCCCGGTGTGGACGACCCCATTACGGAACCAACCGATCGTTCCACGGAGGGTTTGGTCAAAGTTTTTTTAAATCCCGAGGATGAGGAGAGATACTTTTTAATAGGGGCGTCACTGAACGGCACCAAAAAATTTGACATGATATATTTCTTGCGCCGAAACACCGATGTCTTTGTGTGAACACAAGCCGAAATGACGAAAATAAGTGCAGAGATAATGACTCATTGGTTTCATGTGGACCTATTCTTCAAACCCGTAAGAAAGAAAGCTCGAAGAACGCCACTTCATCACGCGAAGGCTGTAAATGAAGAGGTGGACAAATTGTTGGGGGTGGGCTCCATTAGAGAGGTATAATTCCCTTAATGGTTATCCAACACGGTGTGCGCTAAGAAGAAAGAAGGAAAATGACGAGTTTGCATGGATTTGAATAAAGCGTGCCCTAAGGATGAGTATCAATTGCCGAAAGTTGATCACTTGGTAGATGCGACTGCGGGTCACAAGCATATCTCCATCGTGGATGCTCGGGCAGGTTATCATCAGATACCTTTGCATGAATCAGATTAGGAGAAAACATAATTCATTATGCCCCGAGGGATCTATTGCTACATGGTAATGTTGTTTGGATTGAAGAACACTGGTGCTACTTATCAGCACATGATGAACAAAATTTTTAAACAGCAACTCGGCATGACCATGGAGGTTTATATTGATGATATGCTAGTTAAAAGCAAGAAGGGTTCCGATCACCTTGGGACCTCGAGCCCTGGTAAGGGAGAGTGAAAGGGCACAAAAGCCTATTTACTTCGTGAGCAAAACCTTGGTTGACATCGAAACACGATACCTGCCGATGGAGAAGCTTATTCTAGCTTTGGTGGTCTCGGCAAGAAAACTTAGACACTATTTCCAAGAGCACGCCATAGAAGTCCTGACCGATTGGCCTCTCAAGCCCATTCTTCATAAGACCAACATGTCAAGAAGAGTTGCCAAGTGGGCTGTCAAACTCGGGGAGTTCAAAATAAGGTACAAACCCTGTACTTCGATTAAGGGGCAATTCCTTACCGATTTCATTGCCGAGTTCTCTGCGTTTGAGCCCCCATAAGAAACGAGAAATTTTGACGACGACGTTTGGAACCTTCATGTTGATGGGTCCTCGAATTCAAGGGGGGCAGGGATAAGTGTAGTACTGGCTAGTACCAGAGGATTAACAGTGGAGCNTTAAGGGGCAATTCCTTACCGATTTCATTGCCGAGTTCTCTGCGTTTGAGCCCCCACAAGAAACGAGAAATTTTGACGACGACGTTTGGAACCTTCATGTTGATGGGTCCTCGAATTCAAGGGGGGTAGGGATAAGTGTAGTACTGGCTAGTACCAGAGGATTAACAGTGGATCGAGCTATCAAATTAGGATTCAAAGCGTCTAATAATGAGGCCGAATACAAGACACTGTTGGCAGGACTTGATATAGCGTACTCGATCGAGATTAGACACCTCCATGTCTTCTGCGACTCCCAATTGGTAGTGAATCAGAGCAATGACAGCTTCGAGGTTCGAGATACCAGGATGAAGGCATATCATCAGAAGGCAAAATCCAAAATTGAGAAGATGAAGAGGATGGAAATATCCCAGATTTCAAGGGATCAAAAATTTCCACACCGACGAGNGACTTGATATAGCGTACTCGATCGAGATTAGACACCTCCATGTCTTCTGCGACTCCTAATTGGTAGTGAATCAGAGCAATGGCAGCTTCGAGGTTCGAGATACCAGGATGAAGGCATATCATCAGAAGGCAAAATCCAAAGTTGAGAAGATGAAGAGGATGGAAATATCCCAAATTTCAAGGGATCAAAAATTTCCACACCGACGAGCTGGCTTATCTAGCCTCGGCCTTAGCCTCGTAGGTAACTCGACTTATTATCATTGAAAATTGGGAGAGCCCGAGTATAAAGAAAACAAAAGCCGAGCAAGTGCTATCGATGCAAGTGCAAATAGCGCCTCCGGGTTGGATGGACCCCATAGTCGCATACTTAATGAAATGTGTGCTTCCCAAGGATATCAAAGAGGCCAAGAAGATCAAATTCAAGGCCCCCAGGTTCTGGATATCTGCCAATCACAAATTATATAAGAGATCCTTCTCGGGGCCACATTTGCTCTGTGTTCCCGAGTACAAAATAGAACTTCTNTTAATGAAATGTGTGCTTCCCAAGGATATCAAAGAG